CTCTCTCTCTCTCTCTCTCTCTCTCTCTCTCTCTCAAGATATTATTAGACTAACGAAACATTTTGATCATTTAAAATTATTTTTACAGAGATGGTTTTGAGCCAAACATGCACATTGGCGAGAAATGCAGCAAGGTACTAGAAAAATGCGACCGTAACGTTGACTGTAACCGTGAGAATAAACGGTGTGTAAACGGGAACTGCCGGTGCGATACAAACTTCCGGCTCAACGCAAACACATATGTGTGTGAAGTGGTTGTGTGCGGTCGCGACACCGATTGCCAACCCTTTTACAATCAGCACCGGAAGTGTGACGTGAATTCAGGCAAATGCTTGTGTCAGTCATATCGTGATAATCCAGAATCGGTTACGTATTCACATAATCCGGATAATGGCTACAAATGTGAGCCCCAATTGAGGTCTTGTTGCGATGGGTATAACGCATCCATATTGATCTTGTTGTTATTTCAATCGCTTTATGTTCTTGGTTTAGTCAATCTTTACAATTAATACAGATTAAACAAATACAACTATTAAATGATGTACTAATCGTTTTATTTTATTTAATAATGTTTATTTATAATATTAATTATTTCTTTTTTAGTGTTTATATTCATAATTTAAGTATATATATATATATATTTAATCAGTCGTTCATAATTAAATAAGATACTTTTTAATTTTGTATTTACCATGAAATTGTAAAGAATATTTTATTAAAAATAAATCTACTAAAATTTTATTAATAGCAAATATACAGCAGTTAGTAATTATGGTCTATTGATAATAAGTTGCTATTCAAAATTATCCGAGGGCATTCTACTTATAATTTCACAAGTATTATAATAGATAACTTAATAGAGTGTGCTTTTATGGTCATGAATAATTATCAAACAAGTATCAATTGTTTGATTTATATAATAGCGTCATAATAATAATAAAGTGCTTATTATGTTAGATAACAGCACAATATAAATTTACAATGAGAGTCCTTGGTAGTGTAATCACAATATTACATTTGAATTTATCACGTATTTTACTAACACTTAATTTATCACTTATGTGCATAAAAAACATATACAATATACAGTACTGTATGTATTATTTCGCACAACAGTCAGAATTTTCAACAAACTTTTTACTGAAATCAATATTTCTCTCATTTAACACAATAAGTGTTGCGATAAAAAGATAGAAAACTCAAAATTTTCAGTAAATCAACCAAAATGTCGCTAAAGTTTGATTTCAGTGGTAGAGTAGCGCTGGTGACGGGCTCGAGCTCAGGCATCGGCGCCGCCACAGCCATACTGTTTGCCAAATCGGGCGCCAAAGTAGTGGTGACCGGACGTAATGCCGACAAAGTGGCCGAAGTGGCCAAACAGTGCGCCGTTGTGTCGCCGATCGGCGTCTCAGCCGTACTGCAAGTCGTGGCGGACGTGACTCGCGAACAGGATTTACAACATTTAGTGACCCAAACAGTGGACACTTTCGGCCGATTGGATGTATTGGTCAATAACGCGGGCGCGAGTGTTATGAGCGCCGTATACGACGACAAATTCATTGAGGCCTACAAATGGGTTTTAAACACTAATCTTAATTCAATGGTCTTTTTGACACACATTTGTGTCAAACATTTGGAGAAAACTAAAGGAAATATTGTCAACGTTTCCAGTATTGCGGCCAAACTTAGTGTAAGTATTATTTATATTTTAAAAAGTAATTAATTTATTATTTAACAAGCATATTAGAATCTTACAATTTTACTAAATTTATATACAGGTATTTTAAAGTAGTGTATTAATTACAGGCATTTATGTTACATGATTCATTTGTTTTTGTAGCATGATAGTAAAATTATGATTTACAAAATAGGTGTCCAACGCGTCGCCATATTGTATGTCAAAGGCAGCGATGGATATGTTTGGCAAATGTATTGCCGTTGAATTGGGACCGAAAGGCATTCGCGTCAATACTGTTAAGTATGGCTTTCATTGCAATTCATATTTCATAACATTTACTAAAATAATGTGAAATTATTTCCAAATTACAAATAATAACTACACGTAAAGTCCGGGCGCCGTTCGCACGAACATAATCGAGGCTCAGGGGGCGTCCAAAGAGGTGGCCAATCAGGTGTACGACATATTTAGCCGCAAATACCCGGTCGGGAGGGCGGGAGAGGGACTCGACATTGCATACAATATCCTATACCTGGCGTCAGACGAGTCGTCGTTTGTGACGGGAACCAGTCTTGTGTCCGATGGCGGACACGTGGCCGCCAATGTGTCAATGGATGCGTTTGATCAGATTTAGCATGGTGCTTTTCATTTTATTAAATCATTTAATATATTAATTGTTTAGGAATTTGTGTATTTTAATGATAAACTAAAAAGTTAATTGTTGGTTTTCTTTTATAATTAAATGGTCTATTATTGCAAAATTAAATTAGTAATTTAAAATTACACATCTATTTTGAATTATTTATTTTCAATTAAACTTTTATAAATATAACCTAAAATATACCACATTTAATAACATAATCACTTTTACATTACATCTATAAATCACGATTAGAACCGGTTTAGGCGATATGGACATCTTCATTTACCAAGGACACTTAAACACAATTACACCTTGAAATTTTAATGGATTAATTTACCATAATATGCTTTTACATTCAGTCCACTCTCGAACAGTTATCAATTAGCAATTTATAATTTATTAGACATTACACATTGAAATTAAAACACATTGAAAGACCTTGGTGATACAGTATAATTTATCATATCAATTCACATTATCAACCACTTATTTTCCCAACTCTTTCAAAAACACATCTGTATAATAGGGTTTATATACAGTGTATACTTTCTAAAATCAATATTTCTCTCATTTTACACAACAAGTGATGCGATAAACGCATAAAAAGTTTAGTAAATCATCGCAAATGTCGCTAAAGTTTGATTTCAGTGGTAGAGTAGCGCTGGTGACGGGCTCGAGCTCAGGCATCGGCGCCGCCACAGCCATACTGTTTGCCAAATCGGGTGCCAAAGTAGTGGTGACCGGACGTAATGCCGACAAAGTGGCCGAAGTGGCCAAACAGTGCGCCGAAGTGTCGCCGACCGGCGTCTCAGCCGTATTGCGAGTCGTGGCGGACGTCACCCAAGAAGAAGATTTACGGCGTTTAGTAACCGAAACAGTGGACACTTTCGGCCGATTGGATGTATTGGTCAATAACGCCGGGACTGTATCCATGTGTCCCATATATGATGATCAATTCATTGCCTCTTATAAAAATATTTTAGAAATAAATCTCAATTCAGTGGTCTTTTTGACACACATTTGTGTCAAACATTTGGAGAAAACTAAAGGAAATATTGTCAACGTTTCCAGTATTTCGGCCAAACTTACGGTGAGTTTTATTTTTATTTTGAGAAAGTAATTAATTAATTATTAGTTTCTCATTTGTTGTAATTGTTAAAATATAGTTTTAAAATAGCCTTAAGATAGTTGGGTATTATCCTTCTAAAGAGGAAATTATAAGTTATTGTGTATTTAGAATTAAATTTAATTCACTTGAACGTGTAAATTGGATCAAATAAAAAATATAAATGAAATATCTCGGGCCTAAAGCCCCAAACGAATTTAGCAACTTTATTATTTTCAAATATTATTACAATTGAAATGCGTGTACAAAACAGGTGCCAAACTCTGCTCCGTATTGTATGTCAAAGGCAGCGATGGATATGTTTGGCAAATGTATTGCCGTTGAATTGGGACCGAAAGGCATTCGCGTCAATACTGTTAAGTATGGCTTTCATTGCAATTCATATTTCATAACATTTAATAAAATAATCGGAAATTATTTGTAAATTAAAATTTTTAATACTGTATTCTGTATATAAAGTCCGGGAGTCGTTCGCACCAACATATTCGCGGCGATTGGGGCGCCCGAAGAGGTGACCACTCAAATGTTGGACATATTTAGCCGCAAATACCCGGTCGGAAGGGTCGGAGAGGGACTCGACATCGCATACAATATCCTATACCTGGCGTCAGACGAGTCGTCGTTTGTGACGGGAACTAGTCTTGTGTCCGATGGCGGACATGTGGCCGCCAATGTGTCAATGAATGCGTTTGATTAAAGTTAACATGGTGTTTTTAAAGATTATTAAAATTTGATATGGTAATTGTTTAGAAATAAGTTTGAAAGTTAGTAACTTTTGAAGAATTTATTAAATGTATTTGAATAGAATTCACATCATTTATTAAGTATTTAAATGTAATATGGTGTTTTTGTATTAAAACAATTATAATGTTGAGAGAATTAAATTAACACCTGAATGCAATTTATTTTTAGTAATTTTTAATCATAATTCAGATATGAACCATGATGGAATTTTTACAGTATGTGTCAACATATAATACGCACTAAAATAAACTAAATAAGATACTTTTTAGATTTTTACTTATTTAAAATAATTAAACAGTCATTCATAATTATATAATATACTTTTTAATTTTGTATTTACCATGAAATTGTAAAAACAATTTTATTAACAATGGGTACAGGGTGAAGATTAAGTAAGTCTTTTTTTTAAAAACGTAATAACTCGTAAACTATAAGACATAATTTATTCAATTCTTTTGCACCACATACACAAAAGTATGGCATGATTGAATCAGGTTTCCAAAAATTTTTGCCAATCATAACACTCACGTGACGGACCGATTTCCAAAACTGGGCACTCGGCCGGCAATTATGTAACATTTCAGATGTCGATATTACGATAAATGAAAACACGGTGCGCATACATCCCATACATTCCGTTAAATAGTTGTTTAAATTATGTTTCAATTGATAGTTTACAAATGGCGCGCTTTTCAAAAAAGACATGACAAATTTATACTTTATATATTTTTTAAAAATCGCCCCATCTCTAAATTATTAATTAGAAATGGAAAAAATTTCACAACTAATTAAGTGCATGTATGGGCTATGTGCTCAACGTGTTTCATTTATCGTAATTACGACTTCTAATACTTGACATAATTGCCCTTAATTTGGCCAATTTTGGAAATCGGTCCGTCACGTGAGTGTTATGATTGGCAAAAATTTTTGAAAACCTAATTCAATCATGCCATACTTTTGTGTATGTGGTGCAAAAGAATTGAATAAATTATGTCTTATAGTTTACGAGTTATCACGTTTTTAAAAAAAAGACATACTTAATCCCCACCCTGTATATTACATTTTATTAATAGCAACTATATAGCTGTCATTTAAAATTTTACCAATAAATTTTTTTAATATTTTGCAAAACTTGTGTCAAATGTTTGCACATATGTTATTTGTTTATTATTGTAAAAATAATCATGGATTAAAATGAGTTAATAAAAGCCACAATCAATTGTTTGCAAATATTTTACAATAACTAATGATAAATATTTCTGCGTTTTTTGTCAAAAATCAATTAGAGAATCAGATTTAAATGTTATAAATGTATAATTAATGTCTTAATTGCCATAAAATTGCCCACTCTTTAAATTTAAAATATGTTAATATTTTTCCACATCTTGCCATTTGCTGGCAATATAATGGTTATACAATGTCAACTTCAATACTGTCCATTTATATCGTTATATCTCAACATGTCACCAAAAACAACCAAATCAAGTTATTTGCCACTTATACAGACCGCGTGAAATTTATTGATGTATACGACCCACCATTTCTGCCATCTTGTGGCGATATAATGGTTATACAATGTTCCAATGTCAACCTCAATACTGTCCATTTATATCGTTATATCTCAACAAGTCATCAAAAACAACCAAATCAAGTTATTTGCCACTTATACAGACCGCGCGTAATTTATGGACGTGTACGACCCACCAGTTCCGCCATCTTGTGGCGATATAATGGTTATACAATGTTCCTATGTCAACTTCAATACTGTCCATTTATATGTAATCTCTATTTTTCGGGAATAAAAACACCCAAATTCGGGCTGAATTCGGGAGCATAAAACAGTCAAATTTATGAATAAAATCTGGAGTTAATATTGCGACAAACTCGATCTAAAACATGAACTACACATGTAATGTGAACCATATTTGTATAAATTGCCTTTAAATTAGTTCCCCCTCCATATAACTGGGGCGTCGATCACAATTAATAATACTTTTTTAGATTGAATTTCTTTGGGCCATAATAATTCACACGCATTGAAAAATGCTGTTTGTATTGTCACATGTTTTGAGTTTAACTTTTATAAATATTTATAATCCTTTATAATCCCTTTATCACACATTGGTTAAACTTTATAACAGATTTGGTATTTATTTAATATTTCAACTCTCTAGATATAATCAACTCGACCAGTGGTCCACACATTTTGTACACCGACTTCCGTATGGCATCTAGCGTGACCACCTGTGCTCTATTTCAGAGAACTGTTAGCGGCCGAAGATATCACTGCTGGAACCGTTGGGATCCGATTACACATATAACCAACGCTTCCCTCGGTTTCACCCAAAAACTGTTTCCATTATTTATAGCTTTAGAAACATTTAAACATTCAATGATTTAATCGTTTTTTTTATTACCATTTAATCCATAGCTTTAGA